TATATATATATATATATATATATATATATATATATCGGATAAAACGCGGCTTGTCACGACGATAGCATCGCCAATTTACAACGGATCTCTACCAAACTCAACATACTTATTCTACAGATAAATACCAAAATAAAGTTCGAAGATGAGCTTAATCGTTCAAGTAATTCAGAAATACTAGGATTTCAAAATTTTTAAAATCATAAAAATTCATATTTCTTCACTTTCTTACTCGAATAACTTTTCAATGGGATAACTTATTGAAATTCTGTAAAATGCATCTGAAAGCTCTTTAAATAAACTTCAATTTGAGTACCATATCATATGTGTAGTCTTAAAATTATGTCCTATTCCGCTCTGCCAATCATGAAATTTGCTATTGCACTGATTTTAAAATTCTTCCGTCGATATATATTTTTGTCGATTGCATAGAAGTTAAAAATCCTAGTTTTTTCTACAATCCTCCCTCGCGGTTTTAAGAATGCCGTAAAAATACCGTAATTTTTCGGCATTTATGCTCATGCTGTATATTTACCGTAATAATGCGGTTAAACTATAGTTGTTTTTGGCCAGTTTTTATACTGTAAATATCCAGTATATATACTGCACTTATGCTGTACAGTTACCAAAAATATACTATACAATTACCGCATTGATGCCCAAATTTTACCCAAAAAATTCCAAATAATTACCGTAATAATACAGTAATTTTGCCGAATATTTTCTGACATAATGGAAAATTATTAAAAATTTGGTTTTATTTTTAGTTCACTTCTACGGTAAATGTTCCGTAATATTTCGATGAAAAAACTGACCAAAACACCCGAAAAAATGCTGAAAAAATACGGCATTAATACTGTATAAGTGCGACATTTTTTCGGCATTTACAAAACCGCTAGGGCTCGTTCTATTTTTTTTCAATTCATGATGAAATCTACTTCCATTTCGGCTGCCGAATGGTCTTTTTGGTTATTATTTTTGAGTTTTAGTGTATGGTTCCATCCCAAAGCCAATCCCAGGAGAAATAATCACCAAGTGATATCTTTGCTCGAGGAACGGTTTGGTAAGGTATGTTCTAGTTTTAATGTCGTTTTAGTTATGGGTTAATTTTTGAGTACGTTTTAGTTATGTTTTTAGAGTCAGTTTAATTTGGGATTTTTATCGAGCATTTTGGGTTTTGTAAAAGTCATTAGGGTGATTGAGTTTTATTATGAGGATTCTTGAAGCTCCAGGTTATATTTTAGTTATCGTTTTGAGTTATCACGCTACATTGAGGCTATATTTAATTATTATTGTATCAGTAACTTATTCAGTTATATATTTTGTAATATCTATGATTTTGTATCGATCCAAGTTTATGATTTTTGTTAGTTAGTTTTGTTAACACAGGTCAACAAAAAAAAAATATTTTTTTTTGGGTTTCTGTTCTCTTGCTTAAATTCTGATTCTAGACATTGAAAAACACTTAAATATTCATATTTAGTTCATAAAGTTTGCTTTGATCTGATTTATGACGATAAGTATGATTTAATTCATTTCATAAAAAAAAGATGGCAGCACTTTAATTAAGGCCGGCAATACATGTAAACGCCTTAATTTTTACCGTTTTTTGAGGACTTTATAAACTGGGAAGGAATAACTGAATCATTTTAAAATTTTGTGGGGTTATTTATTACTAGGGCCAGGAAGTTGTTTTTTCTTTATTCAAATTTTAGGTTAAACATATGAATGCTCATTTAAACAACTGCGAAAGTCCTGGCCCTATTTATTACATATTCAAGTACAGAAAAAAATTTTTTTTCAATTTTTTTTTTCAAAATGTCCGCGGTAAAAATGAATCTGCCGAGACCCTCTCAGAAAAAGACATCAGTTTGCGGGCGTTCTCACTTCTCGTACGGTGATCTGAAATTAAAAAAATTAGTTTGTACGTGTTCATAAAACATATATCTTCTAATTAAACCACAAAAAATCAAAAAAAGTCAAAAAATCGTAAATTGGCACACCTCAGAAAAAAAAAGTTCGATTTTTTACCCTTTTTTTCAATGGTTTTTTGGTAAAAAGGGTTAATTTTTGAAAATTTTTTTGGAATTTTTGAGGTTTAACTAGAAGCTATTACTATAAAGTACACATGTAAAAAATTTCATTAGAATCGGTTGAGAACTTTTTGAGTTATCCCGCCTGTTACGTCCTGGGACGCCACAAATTTTTTCGACTGCTTGTTTGTACGGTCAGACAACTGAATGCCTTTACCCTGGGAGTGGCAGTCACACTTGTTGACAGATCTCTTTGATTTGGAACTTATTGATTAATTAACTCTACAAGGATGACCATCAGAACCGGTTGGAAAAAGGAAAAAAAAGGAGAGATGAAATATTTATTAAAAGAAATTAATAATTTACTTACGATTTAAATGTAGTAACAGGTGTTTTATTAAATATTGATACACACTGGATGTTGTTACGGAACACGTCTCTACTGGGTCGTTACGGTTAGAATTGATAAATTGTCGCTTTAATTTGGATTTTTAGTTGACCCTGAAGTTGTTGGCGCAGCTAACTCGACGTTGATAAAGATGTTGAACGTGGATGGCTTTCTGGAGTTTATTAAGTCGATTGTCAACCTCAATGCTTGGGTTGAACGGCGATGGAGCTCGATTTTACGGTTAATACACATTGAATGACGAATATTCATTGGTCAACCCTTATAAGGGTATAAACTCGGTGTTTACGCTTCTTCTTCTCCTGGAGTCCTAATTCTCACGCGTGTAAATACCTGGCGACGAGACGCACCCCTAGGTTTGGAGTGAAGCGTCTGTGTGTTCTTTTCTATTCTTTTTAGTCACATAAATGTTGCTTCGTTCGGTGTCTATTCCTTCATTGGCACTCCTCAATCGATATCATGTCCTCTTCTTCTTTTATTTCATTATATCTTGATCCTTCTAGTCCAGTTGTCTTCCAGTAGAAATATTTTCTTATTACTTATTAAATTTACCAAAATTTCTAACCGTAACACGCCCGCAAATTTCAAAAAAGTCGTTTCGAGAAAAACGCGTTTAAAGTTTTGACACACAGAAACAGTATGATTACAGTGGCTTACCGATTAATCAGCGATTCCAGGGCCATATAGAAGTCCTTCGGTACGTTCATAAAACTCGTTTTTCTTTGTAAGTTCCTGTAGACATGCTTGACGAGCTTGTTTGGTCGTCAAAGAGCTGCGGCGATTTTCTCGACTCACCCTTTGATCATCGATTTTTTCTCTGTACGACATGCATTGGCGGCCAATAACTATTTGCATTGAGTTCATAACTCGTAAGATAAAGTCAAATCCATCATTGAACAACCCTGCAGATATAAAAGCACTCATTTCTACGATCTTCAGTCCAGAGTTCAGATGTTTTGGACAGAGTCGCCAGACAGTAGAATTATAACATTCATTTGCATTCTGAGTGTGACCACCTAAACATCTTTCAAGCAAGTCATCCCGAAATAAATCCTTAAAAATCGGCTTAATATGAGTTTGAACATCAGGATGTAATGGAGCTGGATGTTTAATTTCTTTGGGGTTTTCCCCTAAAGCTTCAGCTTTGCGCCACTTGCACCAGCTATCGGAACCAGATGGACAGTACTCGTGTCTTGGTTTATCATCTGTAGAGCACATGTGATAGTAAGTGGCCATGATCGCATCTTTCATGTCTTTCGCATTATTAACGTTTCTTCGAATGGCCAATCCGTAATATAACGATAATTTTTTAATTAAAGCTTCCGTCAATTTACCTCTTCCTCCCAGGTGATTGTCTGTTCTAGTTTTTCGGAGTTGAGTACCCATCCTCTTCTGAACATGGCCGATGCATTCACTTTTCACAACTTGAAATTCGTCGCCATACGGATTCAAATCGAGAATTCCTTTGAAGATTTTTGAATCCCCATCCCCTATGTAGTTTCCGTATTTGACACCAAATAATTCTTCAGGTCGTGAAAACATTTCCTTTACAGCTTCGACTTCCATAGCACCAGAAGATCCTTTATGGTTTTCTTGGCAGTTTGGTTCATGTTCTTCGAACCATTGACGATATCCTTCAGTGTCAGTTTTATTTTTCTAACGAGCACAAGCTGCACAAAAACTACTTCTAATGACTAAATCAATTACTTTACCACTGTAATATCCAATAAGGGTTGTGACCCCATACATCGATTTAAAACCCCGCTTTTTCCATGGACCGTCCCCAGAAACTTTTAAATTTAAGATTGGCCGCTCATGCTTTTCATTCTCACTTTTTTCTTCGTCGACAGCTTTTACACAAGAAGCTTTAAATAATGACTGTGTAGTGGTGTGTAACAGCAAGACGATAGCATTGTATGTACTTTCAGATAAACCATTACAAATGTCCATCATATTACAAAATAAGTTGATTCCCTCCCTAGCAACACCTAAAAGACGCATCACAAACACAATTCTGCGATTTACTTCATATCCATTATTGATTAATGGTCCAGAAAAAATGATTCTGAGACCACACTTGCATATCACGACGATTTTAAAACCTAAACCTCTGTTACCACTTTCTTCAAATTTCACAGGTAATTTACAATCGCGACATATCAAAATATCTGAAAATGCTGTAAACACGGTAAAAAACTCGATTAACCGATAGCCTCGAAGCGCACTGTAATGGAGATCATCTTCGTCAGCGGTAGAGAGTTTTTTCGCACTTGTACTCTGCGGCTCTGTATTTTCTTCATCGTTATTACAGTGTTGATTTCCATGGAACTTTCTTTTTCGTGGTTTTGCACTACGGGTTGATGTATTTCTTTCACTTTTAAGATAAGACTGCATTTTTATTTCACTTATTAATTTACTCCGCACAGAACGAATGCCAGAAGTATACTGAACTGAACTAAAATAACGGCAACACTGGTTTTAAGTATTTTATGTTAACTATATAGTGGTTGTATACCTAGAATTGGAAGACAAAAGATTTTCGGAACATCTGCTGACCCGGTTCAACCATACAATAGACCCCAAGAGTGTAAATTTGAAACCCAGGTACCGATAATCGAGCGCTCAGTTACAGACTTCAATAGCGCTCAATCGCCGAGTTAAGGCGAAGCACTTAAATGAGTTTTTAATATATAAATAATAATAATTTTGTTTTGAAAATTTACAGGCATATTTTTGAGATGATATTCTAACGATATATAAAAAAAAAAAATCGATTTTTTTTTTTTACATGTATTGCCGGCCTTAACCCGAAAGTAAACTGTATTATTATTTGTAAGAGGCACAGTAGTGAATGTTAACTTGTTTATTACAGCTGTAACAACTATATTTGTGTATAACTCAGTTGGAAAATGGCATCAAAACAGTGTAAGAATGATGTTGATTCATTTTATTTTATTTGCTGTGAATTTGATAAAGTTAGAAGCAAAAACTTCGCTTTATTAACAAATTTGAAACTTTGCGAAGCCTATGAAGTCTATTTTAACCTGAAAATCAGTAATCAAAATGGAAATTGGGTACCTCACTTCACCTGCGTTAGTTGTAAAAATACTTTAGAAGGTCAAAAATCAAAATTTAAGATTTTTAAAATTGTCGAGCAAATTTTAATTACACCGGTTGTAATTTTTTTATTTCTAGCTTTGTATCGAGGAGAAAATCGACACATGAAGTTTGCGATGCCAAGGATTTGGAGGGAACCTAGTGATCACGTCCATGACTGTTATTTTTGTATGGTTAATCCAAGTAAGCGTCGATCTGGTAAAAATGCAGAAACGATTTTTTATCCTGATCTTCCTTCAACATCATCTTTGATACCTCACGACGAAAATTTGCCTGTGTCAGCACGTTCAGGATTAGACAGCTTTGAAGTTCAAGCGTCACAAAGTTCAACAGGATCCAGTGCACCACTAACCAACACTGATGGTAGTGATTTCATGACAAAACCGCAAAGTTTTGGGCCACATTTTATTAGCTCGAGTGAATTTAATGATTTAGTACGAGACCTGAACTTATCCAAGAGTAAATCATAAATTCTAGGTTCACGACTAAAGCAATGGAACTTGCTTGAAGATGGTGTAAAAATAACTGATCAAAGAGAGCGCCATAAAACTTTTTCATGTTTTTTCACAAAAGAAGCCGGTATTTGTTACTGCAACAACGTGACTTATTTTGTTTAACCCCTGACAAGCACACTGGGTAAAAAGTACCCACCCCAAAATTTTATTTTGTTATAATTATTTGTGTATATTTAAACTTCGATAGTATTTTTATCTATTTTAATTGGCACTAATTAATTTAATATTATATCTATTTTATAGAGAATTTTTTGAGCTTTGATTTAAAAAAAAAAACAAAATTCTCTAACTTTATTAGGGACCAAGATATTTAAAAATGAAATATGTTGGGTACTTTTCACCCTCAATGCCTAAAGAGGTATACGGTTTAGATGTGTGCTTGTCAGGGGTTAATGAAATCGGAATACCATTTGTAGCATCTGACTGGCGGCTTTTTATCGATAGCTCTTCAAAAAGCTTAAAAGCAGTTCTGCTCCAGAACGGAAACGAATTGCCTAGTCTTCCTCTAGCACACTTTGTATTGTTAAAAGAAAGCTATGATAGTATAAAAATCTTACTAGAAAAATTAAAATACACAGAATACCAATGACCAGTGATCGGTGATTTTAAAATGGTTGGTTTCTTGATGGGAATGCAACGTGGATATACTAAATACCCATGTCACCTTTGTTTATGGGACAGCAGAGCTGACTCAGTTCATTATCAACAGCGTAAATGGCCTGATCGCGTCGAATTTCAGATTGGAGAACATAACGTAAAGTCGGAACCAATCGTAAAGCCTCAAAGTATATTAATGCCACCGTTACATATAAAATTAGGGCTAATGAAGCAATTCGTAAAAGCTCTGGATCCAAGCTCTAAAGCTTTCCAATATTTAAGGGGATTTTTTCCCAAATTATCTGAGGCTAAAGTTAAAGGAGGTATTTTCGTTGGACTGCAAATAAAACAAATAATGAAGATTGATAACTTTACGAAGCTTCTCAATGCTCGTGAAAAAGCAGCCTGGGAAAGTTTTAAAGCAGTAGTTGATGGGTTTCTTGGGAATCATAGAGCTATTAACTATGCAGAATTGATTGAAAAAATGCTTAAAAGCTTTAAAGTTATGAGCTGCAGAATGTCTCATAAACTTCATATGCTACATTCTCATCTGGACGAATTTAAAGACAACATGAGCGCCTACTCCGAGGAACAAGGAGAACGTTTTCACCAAGATGTGATGGACTTTTAACGGCGATATCAAGGGTAGTACAACGAGAATATGATGGGAGATTACATTTGGGGTTTAATACGAGAGAGCTCATACGAGCATAAAAGAAATACGAAAAATATTCACTTTTAGACATTAATTTTTTGTTATTTTACATCTATATATTATTGTTTATTACAAATCTTGAATAAAAAAGACTCTTATATCTAAAAAAATTTTTCTAATTATAATTTACAGTGAAAGTGTAGAAAAAACATAAAAATCAATCATTATCGCCGAAAAATTGAAAAATTGTTATAGTTTCTACAAAAGCAAACTTTAATCGGAAAAAAAATTTTGTTCCTTATTTTTGTCGTAGTAGAAACCAAAATTTAACATGTAGAAGTTCGACCCAAAAATCGTGTTCACCGGTGTAATAAATCAAAGATCAATCATACATCTCAATGTCTTAATAATCACATTAATTCTTATCTGTGTTAAAATTCTTGTGTTAAAATTATTTGGCGCCTTGGGTTAAAGTTGAGACTGGAAGCGAGAGTGAGAGACAGATGTATAACCGACATGAGTAATCCACTACGTAGTAGCGGATCTGCTCGATGTAAAAATTACGGTTATAATATGAATGTATATAATACCTATACTTCAGTGAGTAATGCTGTATAACACTATAAAATATCCTTATATTGTACTCGGTAACGCTCGTAAATAAAATTTAGATTAAAAATAATTTAAACTTTTTAATCGTGTGTTAGGATACGTATGTCATTATTTATTCATAATCATAAAGCTATGTGATTTTCATAATATTGTATAATAAGTTTAATGTAATAATTATTTTTGTAAATTTATTACGAGCAAGTCTATTACGCTTATAATACAATTTAGGTAGAATACTCGAAGTCAAATAAGTAGTTATAGTAAGTGTTCTAGTTTATTCTCTTACTAACAATAAAATGGACTTCAGTCATAATATAATTGGTGAAAAAAGAATGAATGACGGCGATGATATCACTGAAAAGTGTGATCTAAAACGTCAATGTAATCAAATTACGTCGATAGCACAATTATATCATAGTCATCTAAATAGCGACAATCATAATGAGACTTTGCTAAATAAAACCACTCTTAATGCTTCCAATAATGAATACTTATCACAGCATATTACATGTCAAGCCTTGAAAAAAAAAACTTTTGAACTTTCAAATGATATAAACAGCACTAATATGGCTTCAAGTATGAATTTGTTTTATGAAACATTTGATTCATACAATGTCACCAATGTCAATCAATATCAAGGCAATAAAATAGTATTATATGATTCATTAAATAAGAAAACTTCATACTTTGTACCTACCGTTCCTCTATCACTGAAAAATTTTCACGATCTTTTTCATTTAACTGGGCATGCTTTATCTCTTGACTTGACTCGAAATTACGTCACAACATTAACGTTAATTTTAGATTGTGTACAATGTAAAACCAAATCATGCATATCTAAAACAACCAGTGAACAACGCGTTTCACACTATGAAGATATCTTATCCAACATATGGAAGGAAATAAATTTATACTTGGATCTATCATTTTTAAATTTTCGAAAAAATGCGATATTTTGTTTACGAGATCATAGTTGCAGTGTTCATATTTATATAAATGCATCAGTGTCTATAAATGTTTATGAATACATCGTTAATACTCTGAATAAATCTAAAACGAATAATATGCAGTTCATCCTTCAACGATACGAAATTAGTCGTATGACTCGTGTACCGTTACCTTATTCAACAGACCATAGTGGATATATTTATAATTTATCTTTTCAAAGAGAAAATGAAGACTACGATATAAACATTGTTCCTTCTGTAATGAATTATATTGATTTTAAAATGCAATTATCAAATAATTTCAAGATTGGAAAAGATATTATTCTAGCAAAAATAACATTTAATCATCACGGTGGATTAACGCAACAATTATGTCATGACGAGATATCTCGTGAATGGGATATTACAGATAACATGGAAACGGAAGTGTTGTATGTGATAACAGTATTAAAAAATAATCAATTATTAGAAAGTGCAAATGATCATAATATAACAAGATTAAGTCCCGAGTTCAATACCGAAGCATGTGAAATCCCTGCATTTATTCGTAGTCATAGAAATTTTATATTAGAAAGTAATAACCAAAATTTCCAGCTGTTTGTAGAAAATTTATTGCAAGAAAATTATAAGAACTGTCATAAAAATATTAATCATTTTCAACAACCCGTATATCATGTTCGTACTGACGCCACTGAGTTGGAGCGTGATATTTTATTTACCCTTGATAGCATTGGAAGAAATATTGCTAGACATGTTTATCAAATTAATATATCCGAAACCAATGCATTACCACTAGTTCCGCAGTATGAACAAAATGAACCCAAAGACCGAAGCATGGAAAATCATACTAATTTTAAGGAGACTTATCATTATTTAAATTATTTGATTCAGTTTTGCCATGAGCCAGATAATTCAGCTGGATATGCATTTTATGTATTAATTCTGTCAGTGATGTATACGACACAAAAACTAATGATAATTTCCAATAATCAACAAGTGATTTTCAAAGTAATTCGACAAGCTGTAACTGCGTACGATACTTATGACAATCGACAGTTACTTTGGATTCTTGATTCTTTGACGGAAGTTGACTGTATGGCTGAATTAGGACGTATATTCCCTGAGCCATTACGAATATTAAAACAACTTGCAACTTCAGTGTTTATGCGACGCCGAGTTGAATCTCGATTGATTAACGACTCACTTATTTCAGCTGCAAATGATATAAGTCGTGAACGTATAAAAAATCCTAATAATTCAACTAGTTTCGTTTCTAGTACGTCAATCAGCTATGATGTATTACTTTTCGATGAATTGTGCCGCTTATATTTACATGATGAATTACCTCTATACAAGCATTTAACAGACTTAATGTTAGAAGAAATTGTTACTACTATTTTTCGTCGTTACTTAATATTATTTTATCGTAACGTTATGAACAACAATGTGATGTACATCTATAAAGATCCTTTATATATCGAATACAAAATGTCAAATTTTGTGAGTGATACTACCGCTAATAGCAAATTAAGATTCATGTACGATAAGTTACAAATGTATATAATACCGATATTTGCAAATAAAAACTCTTCAATTACTGAATCAAAATGTCGCAATTTAGCAATGAAGATTATAAAAAATGCATGGTATAATTATGTTAACGAACACATTCCTGTGAAAAATATCCACTTTGGTAAGTATCGCTATTTTGTTTGTACATTACGAGGTGTATTTAATAATATCACTGGCCTTTATATGAGCGGAATACCACAGTTATATTTTGAAAATGCAAGCAGCTTTTGTATTTTACCTCCAACGGGAATAAGCGACACTAATATTGGTAAATATGATGTATATGATGATCAAAACAAGTATGACCATGAATATTCTGGTTTAGAAGAAAATACTACCTGTAGTAATGAAAATAATAATAATAATATTAGTAACAATAGCAAAATCAAAAGAGATAATAATACTCATAGCAAAAGTGGTAATGCTAGAAGTAGCAACTTAAATATTATGGCAACTGTTAACAATGTCAATGGACATAACTATCAAGCACAGTTACGTATTGTTAATGATGAATTGATAATTAAAATTAATAATTGGAAAAATCTAATGTACACATATTTGTCATCACAAGATAAATTATTTTACTTATCAACAATGGTGCCAGGTCTGTTGAAAATTGGAGAGTCAGTATTTGATAAGCAAACTCGTTCACTCGCAATTAATACACTGACAAATCGCATACTTAAGGATCAAAGCCTACAAAATGAAGATGAATTATTTTATCTATTACCTGTTATGCAATATCATTGCATTGATTGTGATTCGATAATAGCTATATCACATTGTATAGATTCATTGATCAAAGAAAAAAATTTTATAGTGACCACACCTTCATTGACCAATGTATTTAATAATCTTTATAGAAGTGACATTAACATATTATATATAACGATTGGTGGTAAACGTGGTAGTCAATTTGAATATGAACGATACACAAACTCTCATGATTTGTATGAAAATATGGTAAGTTCATACTCATATCGACCATCTAAACGTCTGCTTGTTCTCGCATTCATTTGGGCTCTGATGGAATATTATAATTCTGATGACGATATTATTCGTGTTAAATTTAATATTACACGACGGTCTCGAAATAGTCAGTTATTAAATGATTCCATCATATCATCGAAACATGAAAAAATATCCGTTACCTTACAAGGTGATCCGTTTGGTTTAATAAAGGAAAAATTCGATTTAAGTCAATATACCTGTGAAACGAACGAAAATTTCCGTCGAGCATTTAATATAACCTTCCAAAACATTTCATCATCAACTGTGTCATCAAGTGCATCATTGTTGACTTCGGATTATGATTTTAAAACGATCGCTTTAAAGAAAGATTCTGCTGGCTCTAATAGCTATACCAGTCAAAAAGATAAATTAATTATGAATGAATCTTCGCAATCATTAGACATTTGTATGTATAATGCATTACTAAGTATATCGATTATTTTCCGTTTCGATACTAAAACAATAAGAGATTACTTAGAACACTGCACTCTTTTATTTCAACCATTCAATAATTGTCGAAAGTTTACTTTGTACTATGGAGAACCACGATGTGGAAAATCATTTCTTGCAAATTTGATTATTCGTGCTGCTGAACCTAGCGTATTCAATGTACTATCAGATCTTGCAACAGCTGCAACTGCAGCATCTCCATCACCAGATTTAATAAAAGCATTTCAATCGTATGTTGTTTGCATTAAAGAAGTACGGCGATTGGAAGAATCATTACTTAAAACAATAACTGGTGAAGATCATATGGATCAACGAGACTTGTATAAAGGATATCAAAAGCTTACTCCAATTTGTTTTATCTTTGGGTGTTCAAATCAAATTCCTCAAATTGAAGCTGATGAAGCAATTAAAGATAGGCTATCAATATTTAATTTTACTAATCGTATTGAACCATGTTACAATTTTCGTGAAGTTATTGACGATAACCAACTGCTTTTATTTATCAATGAATGTACTATTCAACCTTCTATTGAAGAATTAGCTACTTCAATTGGACTTTATAATTCTATATATGCGACATTTTGTTTAACTCGAAACAAGTCCGGGCTTGTAATTCCAACCATAAAAAATCGCTCATCTCTTCAAATTATGAAAAAGTTTTTAATTCATAATAGTCTAATGTATTACGTGATGGATCTGTGCGGCTTAGAGGTAATGACTGGCTATTCAGTTAAAATGGATGAACTAAAAATTAGAGCTGAACATGCTATTGAGAAATCAAAAAGGGCTTTACGACATAATTACCAATTAAATGATTTCATAAATGATTTCAGTCAACATTTTAGAAAAATGTGCAATCAAAATGAATATTCACATAATGATGTATCAATAGAATTTCTTGGTGTAGGCTTACCCCCAAGTGATAACAGCCATGTGAATTTAATTGAATCCGTTTTTTCTCAAGTATGTAGTTGTATTAATGAATTAGACGGTAACGGAACTTTCAGTACATCTATTGCTCAAATGCGTCACCTAATTATTTGTAAAGTGGATGCAGTGACCAATGCGAATAATGACCGAAAAATGGATTATGTAACCCGTATATTACTTAAAATTAAAAATGTATATTACAAATATTATAATACTAATGAACAACGATTTGAAAACATCCAAATTAACGAGGAAAATTAATTGTCTTTCGGTATCTACTGAATGCATAAGAAATTAGTTTATTGTTCGAATTACAAATTATGTGTGGGTCATTTTATGTTAGATCGACCAATAGTTGAAATCGACCTCTATCAATTTTGACTAAATTCAGTAAGAAATTGTGATTTGTTCCAAAATAAAATCTTATTAGAGAAGAAAAATTAATTATTTTTTTCAAAAAATGTATAAAATCCCAAATTGCACGACTCATGATGCGAAGTATTACAGAGTGCTTTATAAAGATTACAAAAGTAAAATCAACAAACATATCAGAGCCCAATGGAATCGGCAGTGGAACCTGGGTAAACATACACACCTTCACGATGTCAGAAACAACATCTGGGAAACTCCCCCACAGTTCAGCCTAAGAAAAGACCAATCCACATGCACACGCCTACGAATTGGTCACACTCAATTCTCTCACGGACATTTAATGAGCAAAACCGACCCCACCACCTGCCAAAGATGAACTGACACTGCTACAGTCAAACACTTCGTTAACTGCACAGGGACCAGTCAACAGAGAGCCGCTTTACATCTTCCCAACGACATAAGATGCCTACTCAACGACAAGAATCATCTCAAAGGATTTGCTGACACTATCAACTCATTAAAATTATCAATTTAGATTTCACTTCTTTTGTTCTGTTCAGCTTTTCATAAATATTAATCTGTTTAGTTAATTTGTACCGTCGCCAAAGACCAAAAGGTTTGTGCGACGTTAAATAAACAAATAAAAAAAAAAATTATATATTATTATATAAAAAATTTTTTCCCCGAGAAGATAACATTATATATAATTATGTATAAATTTATATATTTACACAAAATTATATAAAATTATACATAATTATATTAAATTTTATATATATTTTTATCAAATTAGATCAAATTATATATAATTAGATATAATTTTATATAATTTTTTTTCCCCGGGGATATACAACCATGGAGGATTATATATAGTTCCATATACAAATATATATAATATAATATAAGTATATAAGTATATAAATAAAATGTGGTTGTTCATGCCATTTTTGGTCAGATTGACTAGTAGATTTGATTCAAGCCCATAGATGGATGCTTTCATCTTCCCTTATTTTCGAGAGATATTCTCTCTTCCAATAAGCTCGATGAATATCCATCGAACTTGAATACTAGTAAAGCTGGAAGCTTGTGGTATCAATTCTGATTGTAAAGGTGTTGATTAAGTGAAAGATAGTGAAAGAAAATTTGAATGAGAGCAAAGACAGACTTTGAAAAAATAAATGTCTTTGCTCTCATTCAAATTTTCTTTCACTATCTTTCACTTAATCAACA